TTATTTTGTAGATTTTCTTGCAATGGTGATATACTCATATAGGATTTTTTATAGGGAAAGTAATGATAGTTGAAAAAATTGCAAATTGTTGGTAGCAAGTTCATTTCGCTCTTAAAAATTAACCATAGCCTGTAACCAAAGCATGTGAGTCAAAAAATAAAATGCTCAGGAGACATGGTTCTGATCGAAAAGTAATGCTTTAAGAAAAGTTAGTCTCGAAATTATTGCACAGGGTTTTTTAAAGTTAGGATAAAAAACAACCCTTCAATTAACTCTGTATAGTAAGCCAAATACTAAAGTTTATAAAAAACTGAGTTTATGAATTATAGTTGATAAATTTATATATAACATTTATGAAAATAGAGCTAAAAATAAGAAAAATATAACACTTTAAACTTGACGAAAAAATTTTACGTTGCATTTTTTTGCATCTGAGTGTATAAGAATTTTGAAATTATTTAATATTTTTACTATGTTATGAAACTGTTTCTTATTTTACCGATATATTTCGGTAACTGATCCATACCATAATTTACCAATATGGTTAACCTGGGTTTTCAACGGAATACAGCTTTACATTAAAAAAAAATAAAACATTTCTTTTTAATAGATTTGGGTCTGAAAAATCACTGCCTTTTTTCGACTATACGATATTTTATTAAAATAAGGATGTACAGTATGTCCCCGGATTGTCTTTACAAAAACTTTTTTTTATTATTGACATTTTGAGAAAAATTTTCGATTGGCATTCTTTATAAATTTTTTTTTTGTTCTCTAAAACGGTATGGAAATTTGGAAAAGTATAAACGGGTTTAACCATTTTAGAACAAGCAAAAGTTTTAATGAAGAATGCATTTTTCTCAAAATGCCAAATAATAAAAAAGTTTTTCCTCTTGTAACAACAATCCGGGGACATACCAATCCGGGGCCCCACCACGCCAGTTTAGGGTTAAGATGAAAAAATGCCTATGATCTAAAAAAACCGCGTTACATTCCACATATAATTTTACACATAAAATGACAGTGATCTTCATTTCGTAGCCATCGCTGACGCTATTTTTTTTTCGATCATACAGTATTTTACATTCATAGGTATATTTGCAATTCATGAATATATGAGAGTAAAAACAAAAGAGAAACATTTTTTTTATTAATTTTCTTTTAAATCAAGTTTTTGAAACCTTATAATGGGAAATCTGAAACACAGATCTGAAACTATAATGACTTTGATAACGTTATGACGATTACTTTTTTCAAAGCACTTGTAATATTAATTATTTTTAACCATATCCTTGTAAAAATAGTTTAGTCTGTTTTCATGACGTATTCACTTAAATTTGTTTTATCTAAAATATTTCCTTGTTTATTCAGAACTACTTTGGATGGTGGAGGGGTATTTTATTTTTGTAATCGATTGTAATAGATTCATTTAACTCGCATCGTAGATAGCCATAATATTGGTAATTATATTTTACATGACTTTTTGAGTCATATAGACAAGGTGACCTCAGATAAATGGTAAATAACGAGAGATACGCGGATGATACCGTAATTATAGCCGCCAGCAAGGAAGAGTCCCAAAAAAAGCTGACCAAAATATGGAGGACTACAGCAATCACACGAAACAATAAACCGCGCATTTCGAACTCCCTTATTTTCCCCATAGCATGGCTCTGATACCTAGATACTAAAGGAAAGCGATAAAACCAAGAATAAACGTCTTAGAGATGTGAGTATATCGACGGATGTTCAGAATACCGTGGACAACGGCTCATCGAACAAATATTTCCATTATTGAAAAAGATCAAGACAAGTCTGGTCAACAAATTTAATCAGGCAATCCTGCGTTATTTTGCCCATGTTGCTAGGATTGGCACCTAAATATAAGTACTGATGATGGAGGGAAACTTAGAGAAAAGGCGATCACGTGGAAGATCGCCTAAAAGATGGGTCGATCAAGTCAAAATTCTAGTGGACCAGAACCTGCCCGAAGCCTCACATAGGTATGGCGCAATGTCGAACAACTTGGCCCGAGGAATTAAAGGGAATCAACATATGATGTTACCATAACCACATGCAGGATGAAGGACTGAAGAGAGAGAGAGAGAGAGAGAGAGAGAGACAAGGTGACAATTTAAAAAATAGCAATCGAGTACATCCCTTATACAAAAACACCATAATAGGTTGATTTTTTTACTCACTCGTTAGATGGTCACCATTCTATTTTTTAGTGCCAATCTACCTTCTGTGGTACAGCTAAAAAGCTCCAATCCTTCAATATGTATTTAATGTAGTACAGCTAATTACGGCTTTGATTTTTTTAGTTGACATAAAAGATAATTATCCTAGTTTTGCACGGTTGCTCGACCGCCGCGGAGGGAGGAGGACTAAAAGATAGTAAAATTCTTGGACTATTTTCGTTTTTTTGCCTATAGTTCCGAAACGTTGCGTTCTAGACAATATTTAATTATTACAAAAATTAAAGACCATTAAATTATGCATATAACGAGTATCAATTCGTTCAATTCGGTCCAGTAGTATGGCAGAAATCGAAAGATAAAGAATGGTGATATTTACCAATTTTGCTGATAAACGCATTAAAGTCACATTCAAACGTTGGTCACACGGAAATGATCATTCTAAATAATAAATCATACAATGTAAGTCGCAGAGCATCAAATTAGCATTATGCATCAAGTAATACTTGCTAAGAAAACGAACATATTTGTATCCAACTCTCCATGAAATTACTTAAAAAGTGGTATTCTGAATTAAACTAATACACATGTACATTTAATTAACATTAAAATTATTATAACTAAATTTTGCTAATATTACATAATATATACGACGTTGAAAAAATATTTAAAGGTTTAAATGTGAATGATCGTTTCCATGTGACGAACGTTTGAATGTCACTTCATCTTTCGATTTCTGCCATACTACTGGACCGAATTGAACGAATTTATACTCATTACACGCAGAATTTAATGATCTTTAATTTTTGTAATAGCGAAAATCTGAAAAAAGTCCAAGAATTTTACCATCTTTTGGTCCTCCTGAGTCGAGCGGCTGTCGAGCAACCGTGTAAAACTAGGATACTTATATTTCATGTCAACTGAACAAATCAAGACGATAATTAGCTTTCCAATACTTTTTTCCAAGTGAACCGTCTAATTTGATTGACCTATTTTAGGTTATAAGTTATTACCCTTCATAGAAAATATGTAGGTATTCCAATGTAACGGTTTGATTTGTCGCTTGACATTGAATTTGGGGAATACTTATACTAAGTTATCTTTATGAAATTTCTTCATAGTTGAGAATATATGAATGTTGAATCGATATATAATGCCAGTATTTTATACTAAAATAGATATTGAAAGGACCTCGTTGGACCTCGCGATCTTATTAATCAGACATTTTGTTATTCTTGTTTTTCTGATAACATTCTTAATATATTTATTTACATTCATTGAGGATAATGAAGTACAGGTAAATAAATTTACACTATTTTTGTTACACTTTATTTTCAAGTACTTCAAAGAGAGGCATGGAAAAAATTACAAAATGATAAAAAATCGTACTACATATATATCAAAGTGGCATGTTGCTTACGTATGTCTGACAAAAATTACGTAGTTGGTATTTGTTTATAATTGCGCAAAAACTAATTACTAATAATTATTAAGTTAAATCTAAAGACTGGTTCGACGATATCCTGCGTTCTTTCTCCTAGATATAGTATCAAAAGTACTTGACTAATCAAATGAAGTTAGAATTGCATGTGTTAAAATTAAATAACTACATCGATGAGAGTTTGACTTGTAGCCTTTCGAGCAACCCCTATGGAGTATAGAGGAGGTACATAATTTGTGCGCCACACTGATGCATTTGGCAGCAGTGAATCGGTTTTAGAATCGCGGTACACTCCTTATTAAGGCATTAGCCCCCCAGCTAAACTTTTACTTACTTACTAATAATATATCCTCAATCAACGGACGATGCACAGATCAAGATATCATTAACAGAATAAACAAGGCCAGAATAACATTTAAAATTCTAAACAATATTTGGAGATTTAAACCGTAGATACTTTCAACTTACCAAACTTCAAATTTTCAATTGAATTGTCAACTCATTATTGCTGTATGGTACAAAGACCTGGAAAACTACACCGCCGTTAATTAACAAATACCAAGTATATATTTATAAACCTTGTCTGTAAATAATGTATGAATATCCTGGCCAAACACTACTTTCTACAAATGTTGATTTTTAGAGCTTGTATGATGAGATGTAACTGAAGAAATGGAGGAGGGTTGTTCACACTTTAAGGTGAAAGAGCAACAACATTGCTGGCAAAACTACTGAGCGGGACCCACAAACCTGTAGAAGAACTGGTCGTTCCAGACAGACATGACAAAGAAAAATTAAATATAGGAGATCAAAACGGTAATCTATTTTTGCGAGATATAAAATCAATTTTAAAAAACCGAACCCACTGATGAACCTTTACTGGAACTCTATGCTCCATGTAGAAGTAAAAAGAATGTACGATGAATAGAGTCGTAGACATAACACTTCGAGTAATAGCATCGATAATGATTTACAATACTGCCAAACGTTCGGGGCCCAACACCAGCAAAGAGAAGAGTGTTAGCATATGCGTGCCAGAATATTATTATGTATGGAGCACCTGTGTGGAACGAAGCAACCAATATGCACGTAAATAAAAAAAGACTTGAAGGCGCACAGAGAGTCATGGCTTTGAGTGTCTGCTCGGCGTATCGGACAACTTCAACTGAGGCAGCCTTGGTGATATCGGGTCTGGCGCCCTTGCATCTTCTCTCAAGAGAAAGAGAACGACTCTTTCTCAAGGGTGAAGACCCAGGGCAAGCAGAGAGATGGAGAGAAACCGCACAGGGCAGCAGTGGCAGGCAGAATGGGAAGTATCACAAAAAGGAAGATGGATATATAAGCTCATCCTAAATATAAATATGTGGATTAAAAGAAAGCATGAAGAGGTAAACTTCTATCTTACTCAAATATTGAGTCACCACGGAAATTTTGGGAGTTACCTGTGTAAAATTGGAAAGAAGGAAGTCGCGGAATGCCGATACTGTGCTGAACCCAATGATACTCCAGAACACACAATGTTTGCTTGTCCAAGATGTGAACAGGAAAGATGTGAGGCACGCATGACGATTGGTAGCAACATCTCCGCAGATACCTTCTTAAAATCGGCAACAGAAAGAAGAGAAAACTTTGAAGCCATCTCAAAACTGGCCCAAAATATACTAGAGGCAAAATACAGTGAAGAGCAGGGGTAATGAAAAAAAAGGAACAGTCCGGCGTCTACTTGAGGAGATGCGTCCAGCGGGTCCAGGTAGACGTGGCAGGAGCGAGGGGGTGACGTTTAGTGGGTAGTGTCCTCCAGGCAGCTTAAGGAGAGATTGAGTCCCACACTCCGTACGTAAAGGTATTTTACACCACCAAAAAAAAAAATCGATAATGATAGCATCGACGTTGACAATGTATAATCTCATTGCAGACTTAAAAAACGTTGGCATACCAAAAATACTGAAATCAATAATTTGGTACTAAACTTCCTTGTTCTTTTAGTTTGTTTCCTTGTTCGTAGGATACACAGTGTTTTTTGGTACTAAAGATTTCTTGTTCTTTAAGATTCTAAGAGATTTAATTACGAAAAAAACTGCCAGTTTAAAATATAAAACTGTAGATCAAGCCTATTTTTCCTAATAGTCCTAACTAAGTAATGAAGCGTGCTGAGAACTTTCGACCATTAAATAGTAATATATCAATTTCCTACCTGGCAAAAGAGTACGACAGGGAGACTTCGACAAAGCTGTTTACAGCCAACACTAGAATAAATCTTCCGTCAAATGGACTGAACCAACAAAGGATTAAAAATAAATGGAGATTATCTTAACCATCTAAGATTTGTTGATGATATAATTCTAATCGCCAATAGTCTTAAAGAACTACAAGTACAAATTAACGAACTAAATACAGCCACCTTAAAGTAGGTTTCAAAATGAATTTAACAAAAACTATAGTAATGTACAACACACTACTGGAAATAGTAGAAGAATATACAGGGTCCGGCAATAGTGCGTCGGGCATCTGTAGCTCCTAGAATAAAAAACTTGAGAATTTTGTTTAAGTGCAAACCTAAAGTATGTACTAGGATGTGTTTCAGGAAAATATTTTAACTTCTATAGGGTGGCTCAAAAAAGTGTGAGTGGATTTTTGGATTTTTGGCTTCCTTTCAGATCATTTTACATAATCCTAAGATGTGAGTAAATATATTTCGATAATTCCAGAGATATTAATAAATAAATAAAAATATATATATTTTTCAACCTTCTTAAAAAAATTATTACAAATACAAGAATTGTCCTGAAATCAAAATTATATTAGGTATTTACTTTAGATGGTCTATTCTTACTTTGCTATAAATATTTTATTCTTAAATCATATAGGATGTTCCAAATTGTACACCAAACTTTCTAAAATATAAAATATTTTTCTTTGCTTTTTCTTTAAATGGAACTGTATATTATTTTTTTATTAGATGGAGAGTTAAAAACTGAACATTTTTTGTTTTTAAAGTATTTCAAAATGTTTAATGCGATTCAATGAGAGAAAAATCAATGGATGGCTTAAATAAAAATTTACTGTGGAAAATGCCATTTGAAATATAAAATCAATAATTACAACATACTAAATATAAAACATGTTCATTTTTAATTCTCCATCTATCGATAAAATATTCAAGGTGTTCCATTAAAAAAAATATTTTATATTTTAGAAAGTTTGGCCTAGAATTTTGAACATCCTGTATGATTTACGATTACCATATTTATAGAAAAGTAAGTGCAGACCACCTGAAGTGCTGATATAGTTTTGATTTCAGGACATGATTTTCAGGACATGCTACCTGATATAGTTTTGATTTCAGGACAGTTCTTGTATTTTTAATAATTTTTTTAAGACAGACTAAAAATTATATATTTTTTATTTATTTATTAATATCTCTGCAACTATGGAAATATATTTACTCATATTTTAGGATTATGTAAAGTGATCTGAAAGGAAGCCAAAAATGCAATAATATACAGGATGTTCCATTAAGCCGCCTTAAGCTGCAGGGGACAAATACATTGTCACTGTACCCACTACTGCCTCAACCATAAAACACACAAACGTCTAGAAAAAAACATTCAGTTACAAGAACCTGAACTCCCATGAAAGATATTCTGAAAGAAAAGAAAAAAAAACAGAAAAGGAACAAGGAAAATAAGGAGCAGATCAAAGGAAGTGTCAGTAACATTAAAAGTAAGAAAGGATTCAGAAATCTTAAGGCTTTTGCAGGTAACGTTAAGATGAAGAATTTAGATAGAAACATATGGCACAAGAAACAAAATAATAATAAAAAAACTATAAAGGAAAATGAGTGATATTATTGCCTAATTTGTAATGAAAAGTACGAAGATCCTCCCAACGACGATTGGATACAATGCTATAAATGTGGTTTGTGGGCTCACGAAAATTGCACGAGTGGTGAGAGCACATCAATAGGATTTGTCTGTGACTTCTGTGCCAATTAAACTGTGTTCGTGATTACCCCACACACTATCCGTAATTATCCCATAGACCACGGGGTAATCGCGGACACCAAGGTTTCCTATTTCTTGTTATAATTTTATTTTATTTTGATATTTATCTACGTTGATTATGATAACTTACTTCCCCTAGGAGATGCAAGACCTTGTCGTTGGTGGGGAAGTTTCTGGTCAGGTGCTGGGGGGAATCTCCCTCCTATTGGCTTAACCGCCTGGACCAAGAGGAGACAACCTCACCAAAAACCTAAATCCTACGATGGCGGCACCAGGTCAAAGGGTTGCAAGATAGAGGACTAGCCATTACTGGCCCCAACCTTGGGGCATCAGGGGCACCCCATTGTATTTACCCCTTACTTCCACATGCGGGGCTCAGTAGAAGTGGACCGACTATCCCTAGCGACTCGTGGGAACACTATGAGATCTAGTACTAAAAACACCACCGGTGAAGCTGTGGGGAAGCCCCCTAGCGACACTGGAAACATTACAAATGAAAGTTCCAAGAGACCAAATCCAAAGGAAACTACAAGAGGAGCGGCTGACCCTTGCTTGGGATCATCCTCCACAAGTTGTACACAAGCGACTACCTTCTCCAGCAAGGGTCGGGAGCCTACCTCTAAATCCAATAAGCGACACAAGCTACCGTTTCGTCTACCCGGCCTGGATCAACCAGGTGGGCTAGACGAACCTCTGAGAGTGGGTCTTAGTGGAGCAGAAGCACGGAGATACCTCCGACTGCTCCACGAAGGACTTGCTCGAGAGAAAGCGAAAACACTCCTTCGAAAAGGGGAGAGTAAAGAAACCTAGAAACAACCTGACTCGTCTCCATCAAAGGGCAAGAGGGGGAGCAAGAACCTCTCCCTCTTCTCCAGCAGAGAGAGAAAAAAGCCACCCATACAGCACATCAAATCACATTTACGATGTGTTTACATTATTAGATGTAGACACAGGGTGACGCAATTCCTCCGATGTAAATATGCTACGTTTACACATTGTAGTTCAACACGTATGCACAAAGGTTAAACGTCCGCCTCACAATGTAGCCACAGTATAGCATTTACGTATACACAAAGTAAGGGATACACAGTGCTTGTGTATTACGTTTAAACTCTGTTGTGTAAACAGAGTTGCAGCTGCAGAGTTGCAGTTGTGACTACCGCGTATATACGTATTTTGCTTCGTATATACATCTTGTGCTAGATAAAACTACTTCTTATGAACGAATTTAGGAAATAATACAAGTTTTGATGTCTAACTTTTCGTTCTTTTTAAGAAATATTTATTCAATGATACCAATTATATCTTTTTAGAACAAAAATTAGGAAGGCAAAGCTTTGTATTTTGCAAAAGTATCTCGATCGTAAGTTCAAGAGAAGTAGCCTTAAAATTGTTCCATTTTTGTTTTGTATTAAATGTACCATTTTTCTTCCATAAAATGGATTTAGTGGTCAAAAAATAAAATACTTATATTTCTTTATATATCATGAAACGCAATAGCGCAAATAACACAATAATAATAATTATTTACACTGCAGAGACCAGAAGTAAGAAAACACTGTAAAAGGACAGAATTTGTATCAAAATGTATTAAAAATATAAGTACCTAGTATAACAACATACTAAAATGGTAAACACTGGTATATCGCCACGATTTGGTGGACCTCGTTTAGTCATTTTTTTCTCCTCTTTTCCCTCCAAACAGTTGGTTTGTTAGCATACTCATTCAACGAGCACTCTGTTGGATTTACTACTACGGTGGACCGGTCTGTATATGATTTGTCAAATTAATTTTCGAACTTATACCTTTTCGGTAATTTATAAATACATCTACTATATGACATGCCAAAAATTAAGTGCATCCAATATCTCTGTGTCTACCTTGCGGTGTTGACTTTCAAACATGGATATATTTATTCCAACCAAGATAAAAGGTATTCTTGATTTAAGAGCATTCATTTTGATCAAATTTATGTGATGCTTTTTTAGTTATTAAATAAAAGTAAAAAAAAACTAATTTACAAGTACACAGTGTTCAGGATCTAGTCGGATAGATTATTTTGTTGTAGCGAATCGATGTAACGGCATCGTCGGCGTCGATGACAGAATTGAGTATTAATTCTATGGTTTATAATCATTTACTTTATTTATTGTCCATTTCGTCACTTTATTTTAATTACCAGCTAAATACTGGGTTGTTTTATATAGCAAATATTTAGACTACTATGTCTTGAAACTATATCTTTCTATGAAATTTTTCTATTTGTTATTTCTAAAATTTATAATTTTGGATTGTTTTGGGTTTTAAATTGGATATTAAAAACTATTTAATGTATTGTTTCAATTCATTCTTTTAATTCGACTAGTTATTATTATTTCTTAATTGTATTAGTTAGACAGGTTGTTAGTATTTTGTTGGATCCAATCGATGTAAGCGGCAGTGTCGACGTATATTGATGGGAATCCAGAGGTTCCGCATGGACTGTATCCCCAGGAAACCACACCGATCAGTTGAGAGTTAATGACCAATGGGCCACCGCTGTCACCGCTGCAGACGGCTTCGTTGCTTGAAGATGAACGGGTCGTGGTGCAAACGTTAAGGGCAGATCTGAAGGGGTTGATGATTCCAGAGATTGCAGCAATTGTAAGGGCGCATTCTAAATCATAACAAATCATTAATAATTCGTAATAATTACTTTAAGACTTGTTCTTACGAGTTTTTGCCAAGATTGGAAGCTGAACAAATTGAAGATTGTTGGGTGAGTCGTTGCTTGGAGGTCCAAGGGATCCCCAACCCGAAACGATAGCATCACCACTAGGTACGGAACCAGCAGCTGGAAGGGCGATGGGTTGTACGTTGACACCGTACGTTAGAAGACTAGCCAAACGGATAACGGCGATGTCGTTAGCAGAAACAGTGGAACCTCTATAAAAAGAAATGTCAAAATTATTTTATTTCCTATCGTTTAAAAAACAAAGTTACTTACCCTGGGTACTCTGCGTGGTTAATATAATAAGAAACGCCTACAGTTTGTTGGTTGGCAATTCCACTGTCGGTTTGCAGCAGAATACCGGCAGTTACTCTGAACTGTTCAGCGGAATATTGTGTGCAATGAGCAGCCGTAAGGACCCATCTAAGATATAAATTATTTTTTAAGAAAAGAAAAATATAAACCTCAAATCGATAGATCGATATTTCAATCTTGATTTAAAATGTATAACTAAACTCTGTGTGTAATAATAACTCTATTAACATCTACAAATAAAAAAAGTGTTATTACCTTTGACTGAGAATGGAACCTCCGCAAATGTGGAATAGGAAATTTCCAGAAATGACACGCAGAGAAATTTGGTAGGGGAACTGGTTTCTGGCGGCGTTCGATCCAGCAACTATTTTCAACCCGGAACTGTTTGAGTACTGTCTGGGTACTGTTGGGTACCACTCTGGCTGGATATATCCATCAGCTAAAGAAGAAAAGCAATTAATATTACAGTTCCTTAATGGTTACAAAACAGTGAGTGACTAATAAATTTATCCTGCTGATCATCCAAACAATATTGTCTGGATTTTAATGCGTGTAACAGAGAATAATATAAGTGACCGGTTGACAGACAGAGAGACAAAATCAAAAGCGGCATACAGTGTTGCCGGTTTTTTACGTTAGTAGGAAAATATGTGTAGAAAAATATAAGCTATTTTAAAAACTTTCATGTGTACTACTGAAATGAAGATAATATATCTAAGCTAAATATAATCTATTACAGCTGCAGTAAAATGAGTAACACACCTAATAGTGAGAAATAAAGTTCCAACCATAGATGCAATATTTTTCTTAAACGCCTACTTGCGCGGTTTGAAATTTTGATGCAAAATACGGCAATACCGCATAGAAGAAATGTATCAATCCAATTTTTATCTCAGTTTAATTTATTTGAATTTCCATTAAACTCTCCACATCACTGTCTTACACGTTAAAATTCAGACCGCACAGTTTCGATGATCAAACTGGTATAGAGTGCTCTAGGTATCAGACAGGAGCAGTGTAAACACTTTAGGTTCAAACATACGAAATCAAAATTTAAAGTAGATCTATGTGGCAACCATCCAGCTACATCAAAACACCGGTTCCCGATAGATCACCGAAGTTAAGCGACGTAAAGCGATGCTAGTGGATGGACGGGTGACCGTCTCGAAACTCTGTCGTGCTGTTGTTCCATGAGAAGGGTATAAAAATCTATTGACACGCACTGCTCATTCACGCCGATTTGAGACCGGATGAGATCGGATATCACGTGAGTAAAAGTCGATTTAGACACTCGTCAAGTCGGTAGGCTATTGACCATGATATGGCCGAGGGCCGCGGTTCAGATTCTGCGTAACAAACTAGGCCCTCTCCAGATTAGCCCTTGCAGCAAAAAGGAGACGTTAAATTAAGATTTTCTAAAGCAAATCTAATATATCGGTGACCAAAAGACTAGAAGATCAAGCGCAAAAAGTATGCTTAGTGTTTAATGAGAAGAAAACTAAGTTTATGGAGTGATCAAATAGAGATTGTGAGAAGGAAAGATGTCTTCAAATAAGTTCTGAGAGAGGGAAACGATACAAGTTTTAGGAAATAGATACATTCACATATCTAGGAACCGTATTTCTAAGGAAACCAAATGTAACTCAACAAATTGTGGCAACAATAATGGCAGAAAATAGATGTGTTAGCGCGCTATTGAAAATTATTAACAGTAGGAACATCTCTAGAAGTTTAAAAATCAGAATGTACCAAACAATGATACAACCAATAATAGTGACTATGCATGTGTTCAATGCAGCAGAAAGTTCGAGGCTAGAGATTTGGGAAAGAAAAATACTGAGGAAGATTTTTGGAGGAAAGAAGATAGACAACATATGGACCAGAAGAACAAATGAAGAATTAAAGCAACTATATCGGGCACCGAGTATAACGGGAGTAGTGAGAGCACAAAGACTGAGATGGCTAGGACACTTTGAAAGAATGGCTGAAGAAAGAGTTCCTAGTATGAAATGGAATAAAGGCGAAAGATAGAAACAAATGGAGAAAGATAACTAATCAAGCCTTTTAGTCTTTTAGGCTTTTAGAACTATTATATATTTAAGCGTTGATAGAACTATGATCACAAAACCATCCCCCTTTAGAACTTCATCCTGTATAGTGTTAAGAAATGAAAGTAAATAAAGCGCCTCTTGTGATTGTTCGCATACTAAAAATTTCAATTAATAGCTGTATATGTTTTTAATATATTTTTTAAATTAATAAAGTAACATATTACATTTAACTGGAATATATTACAATTATATAAATTACATGCTTGTTTTCTAAAAGTTTAAGACACTAATTATAAAATTTGAATATAATATATTATACTAGTATATTTTTGTCGTGGTCATTACAATAAAACTGCCACTTTTAGTACCTACTGCAATTCACACGCAATATTTTTTTACAAATAATATCCGACAACACTAAAATCATTGAAACTTCCGGCTGATAACCAAAATTGAAAAATATAACAGCACTTTTTCTTTTGAACCATATGAAGGAATATTATAGTTTTAGAATACTATAGTTTTAGAAATAGAAATATTCTTTGGCCATATAAAAATTACCCTATTATGTTTTTGTTTTTGAAATAATATAAAATATATTAGAATTGTCTAATTACTAATTATAACTTGTAAATCTCTGACAATAATTAATTTTTTTTTATCAAGATGATATTTTAGACGGTAACTGACATATATTATGTCATAATATTTTTATTTTAAATATATGTATATGTAATATAATTTAAATTAATACCCTAGCATAGGAATATTATACTAAGAAAACATTTATACATTCACAAAATAAAACAAAATCTAGTAATATAATTTGAAAACGACGAAAATTGAATTAAAATTAAAAAAAGTTATGCGCAAACTTTTTTTTCAAAATATGATTATTAAATTTTCGCAATTTTTACACCATTTGATGGTGGCGCCTTTAGTGTTTGATCGCATGGTTAGTCTTTTATTCCTATTTATAGCCATTAAAGAAACAGTTCTAACGGGGAATGTTTTGTGATCATCATGATGATGTAATATTAAATGTTGTATTACCTAGCCGTACATTTTCAGAAAAAGCTACTTTTTTGTCCCAGAGACAAATATATTTTGGGTAATAAACCTCAGTAATAAACCCACTAACCAACGCATAGAAATTATTCGATCAACTTAAATATGCTTACCCAATGCTGCTACCACAACAGCTGCTAATACCAGAAGAATCTTCATGTTTGTTTACTAAAAAATAGTGTACTTTATCCATCAAGCAAGGAACGTTTTTATACTATATCCCAGTTTCCTTATCAAATGGTATGTCCTTTATCACAATATCAATAATTTTCACCCCCACTTGTATCCAGTTATACACACCGAAAAAACAAATTATTTGATCATAATAAAAATGAAGTATACAAAATTGCTTTGAAACTGACGAAATATTTATATAAAATTATTCATAAAATGTAACGACTTTATTTAGTTCATTTAAATAGGTATGTTGAGGTACTTTAATATTTCTTTCTTCAAACGTCAGAAAATTATTAATTTTTGCGACGTGATTGACAATATAAAAAAGTCAATTTAATGCCTAGGCATAAAAATAAAGCACTTTTACGCCTTAGCTTTACGCCTTAAAGTATAAAAGTACGAAAATATATTATTAACCTGACATACAGTGGCAAGTTCAACGAGAGTAATCATAGTTCTTGATATACAGGTTGTCCCAGAAATAAGTGCAAGTATTTTAAAGGTTGGGAGATCTCGATAAAAGAAACATATTTTCTCTTTATCGTTTTTCAAATAAGTCCAAAATAACGGAGTTATTTTACTTTGAAAATTTCCAAAAAAAATGATTTTTTGCTCAAATTTTAAGAACCACTGGATCTTTTCTGGATTTTCTTTCTTGTAAATTTAATCTAATACTTATGTTGCCATATTATCAAGAGATTATGTTTTTTAACAAAAAACTAAAAAAATTTCGAATTTTCAACATTTTTTTTTTCGCGAAAAAAACCTTATAGACGTGTTTCTGGGGTTGAACTACCAGTTAAAATACTTGCACTTATTTTTGGGACACCATGTATAATTACTTACAAGATATTATATTACTTCTAAATCTTTAATTTATAATGTTTTATGGCCTTTCTTGCTGTGCTATCCAAGCAGTAAGAAATAGACTATACTAATGGGAAACTTACTTAAAATAAATATTACTAATTTTGATAAAATTTCTTTTTTTCGAACATGAATATTGACGGAAATATAACGTTTTTAAAAAATATGCTCAAGCGTGGTGTATGACGTCACACCACGCTTCTATCATCTTGATAAAAAAAATAATTAATTATTGTCAGAGATTTACAAGTTATAATTAGTAATTAGACAATTCTAATATATTTTATATTATTTCAAAAACAAAAACATAATAGGGTAATTTTTATATGGCCAAAGAATATGTCTATACTCTAAAACTATAATATTCCTTCATATGGTTCAAAAGAAAAAGTGCTGTTATATTTTTCAATTTTGGTTATCAGCCGGAAGTTTCAATGATTTTAGTGTTGTCAGATATTATTTGTAAAAAAATATTGCGTGTGAATTGCAGTAGGTACTAAAAGTGGCAGTTTTATTGTAATGACTACGACGAAAATATACTAGTATAATATATTATATTCAAATTTTATAATTAGTGTCATTTAAAAACTTTTAGAAAACAAGCATGTAATTTATATAATTGTAATATATTCCAGTTAAGTGTAATATGTTACTTTATTAATTTAAAAAATATATTAAAAACATATACAGCTATTAATTGAAATTTTTAGTATGCGAACAATCACAAGAGGCGCTTTATTTACTTTCATTTCTTCACACTATACAGGATGAAGTTCTAAAGGGGGATGGTTTTGTGATCAGAGTTCTATCAACGCTTAAATATATAATAGTTCTAAAAGCCTAAAAGACTAAAAGGCTTGATTAGTTATACTTTCTCCATTTGTTTCTATCTTTCGCCTTTATTCCATTATCATACTAGGAACTCTTTCTTCAGCCATTCTTTCAAGTGTCCTAGCCATCTCAGTCTTTGTGCTCTCGCTACTCCCGTTATACTCGGTGCCCGATACAGTTGCTTTAATTCTTCATTTGTTCTTCTGGCCCATTTGTTGTCTATCTTCTTTCCTCCAAAAATCTTCCTCAGTATTTTTCTTTCCCAAATCTCTAGCCTCGAACTTTCTGCTGCATTGAACACATACATAGTCACTATTACTGGTTGTATCATTGTTTGGTACATTCTGATTTTTAAACTTCTAGAGATGTTCCTACTGTTAATAATTGTCTATAGCGCGCTAACACATCTATTTTCTGCCATTATTGTTGCCACAATTTGTTGAGTTACATTTGGTTTCCTTAGAAATACGGTTCCTAGATATGTGAATGTATCTATTTCCTAAAACTTGTATCGTTTCCCTCTCTCAGAACTGAGAACTTATTTGAAGACATCTTTCCTTCTCACAATCTCTATTTGATCACTCCATAAACTTAGTTTTCTTCTCATTAAACACTAAGCATACTTTTTGCGCTTGATCTTCTAGTCTTTTGGTCACCGATATATTAGATTTGCTTTAGAAAATTTTAATTTAACGTCTCCTTTTTGCTGCAAGGGCTAATCTGGACAGGGTCTAGTTTGTTACGCAGAATCTGAACCGCGGCCCTCGGCCATATCATGGTCAATAGCCTACCGACTTGACGAGTGTCTAAATCGACTTTTACTCACGTGATATCCGATCTCATCCGGCCTCGGGCGAACATTGAATATTGACGGAAATATAACGTTTTTAAAAAATATGCTCAAGCGTGGTGTATGACGTCACACCACGCTTAATATATATATATATATATATATATATATATATATATATATATATATATATATATATATATATATATATATATATATATATATATATATATATATATATATATATATATATATATATATATATATATATATATATATATATATATATATATATATATATATATATATATATATATATATATATATATATATATATATATATATATATATATATATATATATATATATATATATATATATATATATATATATATATATATATATATATATATATATATATATATATATTAAGCGTGGTGTGACGTCATACACCACGCTTGAGCATATTTTATATATATTTTTTATATTTTATATATATATATATATATATATATATATATATATATATATATATATATATATATATATATATATATATATATAAAACAAAACTCTTGTAACTTTTGAAATAATTAAACCAGGAAACAACGGGTCCTTAATATTTTAGCACTGTATTGCACCCACCTAGCACTACCTAGCACCCTACTTACAGAGCTAGCACCACAACCCCTAGTGAATTACAGGACATTTTTACCGGGGAGGGGGGGGCTAATGTAACGCTAGCCCCCCCCGGTTGAATTTTTCCCTTATAACTTTAGCACTCTATTGCACCCACCTAGCACTACCTAGCACCCAATTTACAGAGTTAGCACTACACTCCCAGAAGAGTTATGCATATTTTCACCTGGCGCACAGTGTGGTGGATGGCAATTCTAGTGGGACAAAACATCGGGTCCGTTACAGTAGCCCCCCCCCGGTTCTCCAAACTCGTTAATATTTTAGCACTGTATTGCACCCACCTAGCACTACCTAGCAACCTACTTACAGAGCTAGCACCACAACCCCTAGCGAGTTACAGGACATTTTTACCGGGAGGGGCTAATGTAACGCTAGCCCCCCCCCTGTTGAATATTTCCCTTAAAACTTGAGCACTGTATTGCACCCACCTAGCACTACCTAGCACCCAATTTACAGAGCTAGCACTACACTCCCCGAAGAGTTTTAAGTCTGTGGTTATAGCATATTTTCACCTTGCGCACAGTGCGGCGGACGGTAATTCTAGCGGGACAAAACCGTTTTGTTAGAAATAAGCCAAAAAATGTGTACTGATGAATTAATAGTAGGCATTCCAATAGATATAAAAATGCATCAATTATTTTTTGGTTATATATATTCTTTGTATGTATTTCGCAAGGCAGCGGCAGAGGCTATACAAAACAAAATATTTACAAGTGCTTATACATTCTATTCCAAAACCAAATTATGTTATTTACTTTTATACTACACGTATATTATTCGTTAAAATATTTCGTGCTTTTGTTCTGCAGATATCAAACTTCACTTGTTTTATCAAATATCGATATATTGAATAATGTAGATCTTTTGAGTTACCAATAGTTACCAAAAAGTAGTAAGCAATTTTGATGCTAGAATATTTGTAGTTTCCATGCCGATATTTATTTGTACCGGGCGTTGCCAAATTGTTGATAAAAAAACATAATTTTTAGGAGTCTCTCACGGATTCACCGGTTAGGTTAGGTTGAAGTTAGCTGCCAAGAATTTTTTGAAGCCCTCAAAAAAAAAGGCGTTTTAAAATCAACATCTAAGACCAGTTTGACCGTTTTGTGGGATATCGTGATGCATTTTTGGATCCCAACTTTCTTAGTGACAATAAAACGAAATTTGCAATCATTTTCCGTTGTTTTATATCGAAAATAGAAAAAAAGTTGCTTTTCCTTCCGCTTTGCCATCCGCCCCACTGTGCGCCAGGTGAAAATATGCTATAACTCTTCTGGGAGTGTAGTGCTAGCTCTGCAAATTGGGTGCTAGATAGTGCTAGGTGGGTGCAATAGAGTGCTAAAGTTTTAAGGCAAATATTCAATCGGGGGGCTAGCGTTACATTATCCCCCCCCCCGGTAAAAATGACCTGTAACTCGCTAGGGGTTGTGGTGCTAGCTCTGTAAGTAGGGTGCTAGGTAGTGTTAGGTGGGTGCAATACAGTGCTAAAATATTAAAGAGGGTGCAATACAGTGCTAAAATATTAAAGAGTTTGGTGAACCGGGGGGGGCTACTGTAACGGACCTGGAAACAACCCAACCTAACACATGACCATTTTTTATCAGTTCCCCACAATTTGTAATAAAGAAAACACAATTTAATTTTTTAGGTAAGTTCTCCGTTATTTATTATTAAGAAAATTTAACCAAATAAATATTTCGTAGCATTTTCTTTCAGTGTATAATGCAAAATACAAGGAATTTACTATTTCATGAGAAAAAGCCGACTACCAACCAGCTTTAAGGATTATTAAAATATTTACAAACATACTGCATAAGTGTAGATTTTATCACACAAAAAATACATGACACAAATGAAAGAATTGGATATGTTCGAAAGGAATTTGTTTTTATCTCATTGTATAATTGGTGATTTCCTAATCGTTCATTTATCATGTTAAGTGTTAACGCCTGATGTTTCCTGTAAAGTCTAATCTGGATGAGAACTATTTGTTAGCAGGTGTTTAAAATGCGTCTCGAGTTT